GTCTTGCAAAAACTCCTGAACTGGTGATCATCTGGACCGGCAAAATTTTATAACAGAGAAGTAAAATCAGCCAAGTAACAGTAGACAACCAGGAAAACCCAGCTATTCAGATACGATTCAAGACGCAGCGGTCACACTTGGCTTTTGCTTTTACTGTAAGATGTGGCTCAAGTGTTTTAGGAGAACGTGTGAACAGTATAAACGTACTGGATGACGCCAAAGTAATCGTTAATTTCATCCAAGCCATCTGATCCCCGAGCTGCCCAGTTCCTTTTGAAACCAATAATCAGAATGTTTGGTTTTAATTTCCCTAGGCCGGCAACCTAAATATGGCATAAATGCAAACCAACAGCTGATAAAATTTAATACCAAACACATAAAAACTATCTTCAAACTATATCGCATTATTAAGTCAAATCGTTAACCAAAGTATCCGAATCATTCCACTATAGCTAGTTATCACTGCTAGCAACTTCATTCTCCTTTGCATCACTATCCTGACAGTCCATGACTGACGAATTTTGCCAAAATTAAGCAAAATTTCGCAGTCACTCACTGCCTGTGACAAAGCGCATTATCCAGAACAATAAGTCCAGAAATTAACAGTTTTTAGAAGGCCCTCAAAAAAACAATTCTCACAAAGTTTCAGAACCTGAAGTAACGTTTGGGCACCATGTCGTAAGCTTGGATTAGCAACTGATACATAAAATGATTTGATATGACGCTTTTTCAGCCAGTCATTCATCTGGAGGTCCAGTTTTCGGAGTAACGCAAATACTCGATCACATGGCTCATACTGAAATTTTTTTATAAAAGTTTGTTTCTGAATAATTCGAACGGAGTTTCGGTGTTTCTTTTTTGGCTAATTATATGGTTCGTGATTGAAGAATAATGGATGTTTGAAAATCTTTTTGACTACCACAAAGAACTCAGGCATCGATCCACCAATCTTGCTGGTGCGAACATGCGTTTATTGCAGCTTTCCCCACAAATGCTTATCGCTAAATAGCACTATTTCTCAGACAGATATTTCTAGCTAGACGAATTGAGAAAGGCCATCTTACGCTGCCACATGTTATCACAAGGATTCCCAATAAACACAACTACGAGCAATGCTCAGGAAATTCCAGCACTTTACTTTGGTTACGAAGTTACGTCAAATTTCACGTGTTTTT